TGAATAAACAGCTGTAACCAAAAAACTTTATTACACGCCATCACCAAAAACATTATTTCTGCCCCTTTTCTGCATACTATATAGAGCTCAATACCTTTCATACAAAAGCTTAACACCTGTAGCAAACCATCTTGGCTACCAATTACCCATATCAGATATTGCTCAGGCAGAAATGAAGCATAGAGCCCTGACTGCCTCCTGGAACAGCTGAACTGAAACCAACGAGATCTGCTGGTTCTGCAATGACTCCCCAGAGCAAGTTCAATTTTTCTCTGCCATGTAATCCCACAGTGCAGAATGCAGCAAGGAGTAGGGAGAGAAAGTGTGACCATAAACACCAATGTGCAGTCAGCTGCAGATGAGCCAGCTTGAGGCTCACTACTGCCCCAGCAAACCAGCCTCTTCAAAATTCCAGGAAGCACAACACAACCATATTCTCCACAGTGCTCCCATGAAGAGTAAAATATGTCTGCACACTTTTTTGCAGCACATTCTGTATTATCAAGGGATTCCCTTCCCAAGAAACCACTGTCCCCCTGGATCATACAGACACACAGTATTCCAGGCAACAGTTTTGATATAGCTAAATGTACTAAATCAACTTTCATCAAATGCTTCAGGACACATTTGATCTTGGGCTCCTGCCTAACCAGTACAAGATTCTACATATCCCTTCTGGCACCAAAACCAGGCTGACACATAAAAAGTGCCAGGCTCCCATAGTGCTAGGCTCTTCCTACCAGGTCTTTCTCTCTTTCCAGTGGGATTTGATGATGCAGTGGAGGTTCTCCTCTATTACAAATCGTTCAACGGAATGGCTGCCAGGCATGACAGGACCCTGGTAAGAAACAAAGAAGGCTCATGTAAACCACTGCTAATGCAGGGATACTACAGGGAGTAGTACCACTATCCTACATAGAATCACAGGTGAAAAAAAGTAATTCAACTTCCACACAAACACTGTGAGGTCTCAGCTGTCCTTTATCCTTCAGGACTGAAAAGCTGATGTGATACAGTTCCACACAAACCTCAGACTCATGTTTGAAACAAATGGCTACTAGGACTCATTAAAAAAACAAATGGGAACAAAATTAGAGAACATGATTCAAGTTCATAGAGCATCTGCTTCTTCCTTTGCTTTGTGGAGTCATCGTGCAGCCTATCACCATGTAGCCTGGAAAGAAAATCACACTTGAGCTAGAATATAACAAAGAAATAAAGCCACAGAGTGGAAAGAATACACATTCATAGTCTTCTTCACTGCAAAAACCAGAGGCCAATAAATGAAGGCAAAAGGCAGCAGGCTTAAAGCAAAGGGAGGCATTAGAGAACTCAGAGAATTCAGTAAATAATCTTTTCCTGCACTTCTTTGATCCAAAATATGCATCAACGAATTTTAACAGATGATAAATATTGCAATAAAAACCTAGCTTGAAAAAATACTCAAGTCACCAATTTTATGGAAGCAAAGTCTAACTCTGTGAATGCAGTTTTACTAGAGACATTAGGGAAATCAGTCAGCATTGTCATTCTAAATAAAAGCATCACAACCTCTTACACCCTAAATTCTGCCCCTCACAAAACTGCTTTGTACAGTAACCTGGCTACTTATTTCATTTCTGCAGAAGTACCAAAGTAAAACTGCTGCTGGTCTTCAAACCACTCCCTATCCTGGGAGAGGGGACATCACATTTTTACCAATATTGCCCCAGCAATCTAACTGTGAAATCCACTCACCAACCCCCACAACAATCACATACCTCAGGGTCATCCGTGTAGTCAAACATCCTAAAAATGACCCTTGGCATCGGGTATACGGAATCTTCAGTGTGAGGTGGAGGAGTGAATGGAGGCAGATTGTGCTGCAGTGCTTCACAAAGAATGCTGTCAAAAGCCAAGTAGGGCCTCAGGATGTGTCGTTCCTGCCAACGGTCTTTTTTCAGCTTCTGAATCTGAGACCAAAGGCAGTCTAAATACTGAAGAGAAAAGGTGAGAAACATCAGATGTGCTGAATCTCATCACAAAAACCGCAGTTCCCTAAACCACCTGAAATGTATTTCTTAAATTCCATACTCCATTCAGAAAAAAAAAAAGTTTCTTAAAACAAGTAATTTAAGACCTTGTCATGGTTTGACTCCAGTCAACAACCAAACCTCATGCAGCTGCTCACTCACTCCCCCCACCAGTAAGATCAGGGAGAGAATCGGAAGGGTAAAAACTTAGAAAACTCATAGGCTGAGACGATGACAGGTTAAAATGGAAAGCAAAAGCTGCACACACAAGCAAAGCAAAACAAGCAATTAATTCACTACTTCCCAGAGGCAGGAGGCGTTCAGCCATCTCCAGGAGCAGGGTCCCAGAACTCATAGCAGTGGCTTAGGAAGACAAATGCCATGATCCCAAATGTTCCCCCTTCCTCCTTCTTCCTCCCACTTTATATACTGAGCATGACGCCATATGGTATGGAATATCCCTTTGGTCAGTTTGGGTCACCTGTCCCAGCTGTGTCTCCTCCCAATCTCCCATGCACCCCCAGCTTCTGTGTCCGTGTGGCAGTACAGAAAAGGCCTCGGCTCTGTGTAAGCTCTGCTCAACAATAACAAAAACATCTACCTCTGTATCATCAACCCTGTGCTCTGCATGAAACCAAAACACAGCTTCATACTAGCCACTGTGAAGAAAATTAACTCCACCCCAATAAAAACCAGCACAGAACTTTAAATGCCAGAGCTGCTCCTAACTTCAGACAATACTCTGTCAGTAAAATTTAGCCGCTGGCAGTTTTTTAAACACCAACAGGCAGCTCAGGAGACCCAGCAAAACTACAACAGTGAACAGCACTTCAGTCACTGCTCATTGGTGGTACTAAACCAGACATAGTATCAGCATAAAAATTGGAAAGACATTCCACAGGGCTGCCATGCTGTTCCCAGAGCAATCCAAACCACTGGCTACTGTATATTCAAGATAAATATATAAAACTACCAAATATTAAATACCTTTGCCATGTTTTTCAACACAATTGTGAGTCCCAACATTCTCCCAGAGATGGCAGACACCAGTGCAACTGGCAATAGTCTTGCTTTGTTTAATTACTCCAAATACTCCTGAGGCCTGTGGCCTTACTGAATGCAAGTTTCAAGTCATAACATTTGCAAGAAATGTCCTCACACGGAAGCACTTCACATTTACTGAAATTATCACACTACAAACTGTGAACAAAACTAGTAACAACTAGCACACAAAGTCCATGGTCATGTCCTGCAAGTACTCTGGGTCTCATGGTCTCAAACGCACTCTGATAATCTCTTCTCTAATGAATTCAATCAGGAAATTCAGATACTGGACAGGGAGAATACTCACACAAATCAGTCATGACCAGACCATGCATCCCTCCGAATTACAATTAACAAGATAATTGTTAAGCCTCTGATTTTATCAGAGCAGCTCACACAACATTAGAGGGTCATGTTCCAAAATTTCCAAGAAAATAACCTTAGATGTCACTTTCCAACATTTGTCCTGAAAGCTAGGGGAAAGAAAAAATCTCAATATTCAAAAAAGGAAAATCCCACCCTAAACTAGCCAGATGACACCTCTCTGGTCCGGTATTTTTGATTTAATTGTGAAAGATGTCATGGTAACTGCTGCATACAGTTTCTACATATTTGTCTAGCACTTCCTAAAGTTGAAAAAGCAAAGCCACTACAAAGGTTTCTTCTGTGCAGAGGGAAAACATTTAAGGATAAGTAAGGAATGACATTTCACTTCACACAAAGTCCTTTCAATGTGAAGCCCTGTACCTGCAGCTCCAAAACGAGACACTACAATTTACAACCATTCTTCACTTCATAACATTTCCTCGGGGGCCTGTCAGCAAACAGCAATGTATCATCTTTTTTCCTTCTTACTACACAAAACCTCACATTTCGGTCCAATACTTGGAAAGGCATTCCTCACTTGGAACTTGTTGGAATTAATGACCAACAGCAGACAAATCCAAGCACTCATACTTTGAGAGGTGCCTTTTAATTTCATGATAAAAGAACACCTTCATAAAAAGTTATTTTTAGAGCTCTCTGAAAGAATGCAACGTGAAGTCCAATCACCTCTTCTTGTGGATGTGGTTTGTCAGCAGTCCACACTTGCAGCATGGGTACATGAATCTTCTGGCGGCGTCTGTTTAAACAGGAAAGAAAACCTGACCTTTAATAGGCTAACTTAGGGCACCAATTTTGGTTTTGAGTGTACTACTATTTGTTCTCTTCAGCTGATGAAGCCTACAGTATATAAAGATCATGTTTGTGATTACCTAAAATATCTCTATTATTGTATATTGACAACAACATTAACTTGAAGCACCTGCACATAATGTAGTGATGTTGCAAAGTACCAGTGCAACAACCTATCAGTATACACAGCACACTCCCAACTCCAGCTGTTCTTGTATGACCTTCAATATACCCTAGAACTAGACAAGATAATAAAACTTATCAAAGTCTCACAACCTACTGTAATTTCAGGGCTTGTTCCCCCCCCCCCAACAATGTTTCAGACCTAAGGCTTTAGAATACTTTTAAGTGAACAATAATTGGAGCTATTAATTCATACTTAAACAGATACCAACAAGGGTATTTCTAACGGGTTACAACTTACTTCAAATAACTTTCTGTCTGAGACAGTAGACGATCCATTTCAGCATCCTTTTTCTCATATAACTCCTTTCCAACCCAAGGCAAAGATGACAGAAATGCAAACACATACCAATCACATCGTACCTGCAGGAAGGTAATACACCAAAATCTAAGCATACAAGTAAGCTCCAACAGATTCCATACATACACATTTTAATTTAAAACACTGGCAAATTGTTTTGGGGGGATGTAAAGACCAGAAGTTACAGCCTGGATTGGCAAGGCATGAAAAATCAAACAGATTTGTGCTTGAAAGGAATAACTTTTCACTTGAACTGTGATAAGCAAACTTAAAAAATAGTATCATTTCAGATTATTGATACAGCAGAAAAGCCAGGCACTTTGCATTTGCCAAAGGTAAAATATACAAAAAGGACCACACTTTCTTGCTGTATGCATGTATTTTCCAATTGCCACAAGCTCCTTTTACTGACACTCAGGAAACTGTACATGACAGCCCATTTAGTCTGCTCTCTCTAAAACCTCCCGGTTCTAAGCATAAGCACAGAAAGAATGTTACAGAAAAGTTGTGAAAACAGCCCCAGGGAGCCTACAGATCTTTTGCTTACTTGGGGTACATCCTCCTCCTGTGTCACACTCACAAAGTTCTCAAACATAGCTACCATTGAAGGTGCAGCTATTACATGGCAGTTCACGAGATCAGACAGAAAACGAACCTAAAAAGGAGAAAAAAAATGCTTTACATTAATACTTTTTAAACTGATTGCACAGGAACAAATAAATATTACTTAAATGATTAAAACAAAGAATCTATAATGCTCATTCAAGACTACAAAGGCTGAAATACTGCACACTGTACAGATCTACCTTTCAATGCTAGAAAACAAGTACCATAAGTGCTGCCCAATATATTGGTCATTATAATGTCTGTTAATCTATTTCACTGCAATAACATGGTGAGAATAATATTTTTGATTACAGAAGGGTGGGAAACACCAGTATGCATTCAAAGACATGCAAACTGACACTACAGAAAACCTCCTCGTGCTTCTGTCTACTCTATACAGTATCAGATCAGTAAAATAACAGAAATTCTACCAATAGATCTTTTTAGTAAAAGTGTCCCAGGGTTGAAGAGCAGTCTCTGGACTAGAATGTTAATTTTCACCAGTGGGCTTCAGCAGAGGCTGGGGATCTTGGCAGGGGGCTTCTAAATCAGACACTGCTGAAGTTCTAATGCCTTTCTGCAGACAAAATCTATAAGCAGCGAGAGTGGAGCAAATAGTTTCAATGACAGCACTTAAAACTGCCTGCCTGATCTTCATCCCTCGTGATCAGAATGAAAACAGACATCAAAAACGGCTTTTAAGAACCAGACTGTTCAATTGCTTTCCATGGGAGCCAAGGTAACATCATGTACCTCTGTACATAATCAAAGTGCAATGACGTTCATCTTTTACTGCAGAACAGGTGGGGATAAGCACCTTCGTTCACCATAAATTTGATTTTTCATTGGGAGAAGTACAGGAGGAAAAATGCAAAACAAACAAACAAAGGCCACTTACTAAATGCACAGCTTCATTGTACATGTTCACTTTCAGGCATTCCTTAAGCTGACGAATCATGGCTTCCACAAACTCCCCACCGAAATTATAGTTCCTGGCATTCAGCAGTCCCACCAAGGTTGTGTAAACAGTAAGCTTTTCCGGCAAGAGACGTGCACTGACACAGGAAAAGAAACACGATGTTAGCTGTTTATTCATCATGTGCAGGCCACTGCATAGTACCTCGGGATCTGCTTACTGTAGGTTAAATCTGTCTTATGAGAAAAAAAAGAAAAAACTGCTTGTGTGATCTCACAGTTTCATCCCATGGTTAGTATCTTACAGATAATCTCTTTTCTTTAACCACAGCCATTCGAAAAGGCAAGTGCCACATTCAAGGCATTTGTTTTCTATTTATATCTAAATGTTGAGTATTCCTGAAGGTTGGCCAAATAACACAAGTGACAGAATTTATGCCAGGATTTAAGAAGTTCACAGTTTAGAAATAATGTTCTTACACCGAGCAGGGAAGGCCAAATCCTAATGTCAAGAACTGATTTTCCTCAACCAATTTTGTATGTATGTGAGCTAACCCTGTGCTTTCAGAGGAGTCTTACTGTACAGGAGAAAAACCACAACAGCATTATCTGCATTTTAGTAAGAAAATGTTGCTACACAATAGATTTTAAGTATTTGCAAAGGGTAGCATAGTCTCAACCACACCCTTCCTTGCTACTCCTGTTACCTCCTACCACAGACCCTGCACAACCTCTCCCTCAGAGACCACCCAGTGACCCTGCACAAGGCACCTCTGCTCCTGTACTTGGCTAGGGAGAGGAAGGAGAGCTGTCAGCTGCCAGAGCATCTGCTTCTGCTCCTCACATTCCCAGTTCCCCTCCTCTAGCAAAGAGGCACACAAAGACAGGAGCACATCGATGCGGAGGAGAGGAGAAAGCAGTGAGAAAACATCACAGGTACTAAGAGTTAGTAGGTACTAGCAGCCAATAGCTTTGGTAGTCTTAAGCACATCACTGGTAAACAGGGTATTGCTGAGCATTGCTGTGTTCCCACAGCTACTGAAGAGCAGCTCTGAGGTTCATTCCACCTGCTTTGAGCCTTTGCACGCATTTCAAACCAAAGCAACATAGAGGCATTTTCCTTGACTTACACCTAGTACATTACAAGCGCTTTCCTCTATTTCCTTAAACAGAAACATTTAAACTACCTAAAACATTTGAACCCACGCACAAAGCAAGCACCACCCACATTCTCAGGTCTCCTGCATACGTACACAGTACACAGAATCCTCAGTATCTTGCTTTTGTAATTTGGCAGATCAGCCTCCAAAACACCAGCTAAGCCCTCCAGGTTGCTCTCCAAAGATGAATTACTCTAAAATAAAGACAAAAAGAAAGTTTTCTCAACCAAGCAGTAAAAAACCAGCCCCTGATTCCCACGTGCAAGAC